CGCCTCGTCGTCTCCACTCCTTGACTACATGTGTGTTGCTGTAAAACCCCCCTCCCCGCGTCTATTGGTCCAGAGTAACAAATGTGCACCTTTTTTTTTCCCCCGTCCCAAATTATTTGGTTGGGAATGCAACAAAAAATATAAAAGGAGCCAACAACAACAACAAAAAAAAAAACACATATACACATACACATACACATACACATACACATACACATACACATACACATATATATATATATACAAAGGAAAAAAACAAAAACAAAAACAACAAAAAACAAAACAGTAATCAGCAAGAACAAAAGAAAAAATGTTCACATACATCAAGACCGTTATACCCCACTTTGGTGGTGGTGGATGGGAGAAGAGCTTATTCGCCTCGCCATGGACCAAGCAATACACGTCTACTGTTTTTTGTTTTTTTTTCTTTTTCTTTTCCTTCTCGTGTTCGGCCGCAAGATGACGGAAGAGCAAATAAGAGGGAGCATAAGGGCTAAAGCACACACCTCCCTCCCCCCCTCCCAAATTATTTGGATGGGAATGCAACAAAAATATAAAAGGAGCAAACAAAAAAACACAGACACACACACAGACAAACACACACACACATACATACATGTATATATATATATACACACATAAAGGAAAAACAAAAACAAAAACAAAAAAAAAACAGTAATCAGCAAGAACAAAAGAAAAAATGTTCACATACATCAATACCGTTATACCCCACTTTGGTGGTGGTGGATGGGAAAAGAGCTTATTCGCCTCGCCATGGACCAAGCAATACACGTCTACTGTTTTTTCTTTTATTTTTTTATTTTTTTCCTTCTCGTTTTCGGCCGCAAGATGACGGAAGTGCAAATAAGAGGGAGCATAAGGGCTAAAGCGCACACACACATATATTATATATTACATATAAATATAAATATAAATAAATATAAATATAAATATGAAGTGAAAAAAGCTCAAAAACTTCAGGAAGAGTGTATCAAAGGAGTGGTAGAATAACTGTGGGTCAAAAGCGATAAAGTGCCCCTCCGCAACCACATCCCACACATCCCAGTTAGAGACGTGTAATGCACAGGCACAGGCACAAACACACAGAGAGAGAAAAAAACAGAGTCTACTGTGATGTGTGCCTACATCATATGAAGCGATGACAAAAAAAAAAAAAAAAGGTGAGGAGAAAATGAAGCACACACGCACAAAAACAACAACAAAACAAAACAAAAAAAAAACAAACAAAAAACAAAAACATAAGCAGAAAAACAAAACAAAACAACAACAAAAAAGAAACGGTGGCTGAATGCTGTTTTTATACATATATATATATATATATATATATTTTTCCCCATCATTTCAGTGAGCTGCGTGGGAGAATGATAACCCCCACGGGGTAGTGATCACTGGGGTAATCTTTTGTTGGTAGTTCTGTGCGGCCAGAGAGTCTCATGACAGACGTGCAAACAACATGCTTTTCTTCAACAAGGATGTGGTCCAAAACTCCCCCCTCCCCGTTTGAGGATGGATTCACCGTGGACACATGCCATGGATGTTGCTCGCGGTACGTGGCGTAACTATCCGTAAATGAAATCGAGTGCCCAACAGTATCCGTAATGCGGTACCTTCTCCGTTTGCTGCCAATATGCCGCACCCCGGCCGCCTCACTTGTGGTATCGCTCGGTGAGAGTGGCGGGCTACCTGCCTCTTCGCATCCCGAACTATTCTCCTCCTCTGGCAGTTTCCAATAATTCATCACATCGCTGCCTGGGGGCGGTGTACCGGACAAGGCATAGCGAATGGGCGGAGATCCTGCATCTGAATTGAAATCGCCAGCAAGCACTAATGAAACAAGCGCGGGTTCATCTTTGCCACCAGTGGAAATTTTCTCATACTTTTGTTTCAGCTGCTCCATCTCACGCAACACGTGGTGCATCTGCCATAGCTGACATTCTGTGCGCTGCCAAATAAGGTGCACAGTGCCAATTACGTAAATCATATTCGGCATCACACGGTCGCGTAAAACAGAAATAAGTGCCACATTATGTGATCCAACCTGAAGTGATCGACGCTCACGTTGTGTGAGATGCTTGTCGGCAGCAGCAATCTCATTGAATCGGATAGGGACAACCTCACAGGAGTCAAAACGATCTTTCAAGTACAACACGCACACACCTTCCATCTCTGAGCGTTTTTGGAGTGGACCATCAGTTTCAGGAGGGGGTGACGTCACCCAAGACGCATGCTCGCCCCCCCTTCGCTGAGAAGATACATCTGTTTCTTTGAAAACATGAACATCACACTTTTTCTTAGGGGGTTCATCCCTCTCGTACCTTGGGCGCCCCTTCACGTCGGTAACCACAACGTGGTCGCCAGCAAAGCAGTAGTTGGAGCTCAGCCAGTCTCCCAGCAAACCCGGTTTTTCAAACACATCAACACTGATTTCCTGAAGCGCTATGATGTCAGGAGCGGCATCTGCCAGTTCCCGTTTCAGGAGGGAACATCGGTAATCTTCGGCAAGAGCAAACATGGGACAATGCGGGTAAAGTTCTGTAGAAACTAAACGCTGGGCCAAAATGTTGTAGCTCACTATTTTTACCTTTCCATCTAACACTGAAGAACTCATGTTCTTCCCCACATGTCTTACGGACCAACCACGAAGTGTAGAACTTACAATGGCAGCATCCCCTGCAACGGCGTCACGGGATTCATCCAGTAACGTTTCTGCACTCAGGCTTGGAAAACTAGTGCTGTAATGTTTCTTTTCACGGCGTTCTATCAAGGTCAATTGCCGAGTTGTTGCAATTTTGCAGCCATTTTCAGCTCGTGGAGAGGCGCAAGTCGTTGACTCGTCCCTGTGATGAAATAATGAAAGCCCCGATGGCTTTGTTATGCAGTGACGAGAGGCCTCCGTTATATCCTCACCATTCGTTAGTGAAATGTGACAAACCGACGTGGGTGAAGACTTAGCCATTTCTCTATAATACATCCAAGACACACTAAAATGATGCGTCTCTTCTTCTTCTTTTTCTTTTGTCTTTGTTTGTTTGTTTGTATGTTTGCCTCTTTTGGCTTCCTTGTTCGACAGGTTCTCTTCCTCCGCCTCCTTCCTCCAGAAGGTCTCTCTACCTCTCTATCCACGTGAAGAAAGATAGACCCGCAGATACCTCAGGTATACAAACAAGACTCCCCGTACAATGCCCCCTCCCTCTTTATTTCACTTTCGTACCCCAAAGAGCATATATACACGTATGTGTAGTGCAGGCCAAAAAACAGGGAGAAAAAAAGAAACATACACAATATGTATATACATGGGAAAAGAAAAAGAAAGGAATAGCACACGTATAGCGACAACACTGTGGGACTCGAAGCATAACCACATTCTTCTATAAAAGAAAGGTTCGCACACACACAAAAAACAAAGGAAAAAAAAAATACATATGGGAACGATCCACCTCTGCAGCACCACACTGCCATCACAACGTAGGGATAAAAAGACCTCGCTCATATATACACACAAACAGGCACACGTAACACTTAATAATGATAATGATAATAATAATAATAATAAAAGGCCCAATCGGAAGCAGTGGCAGAAGAAAAAGAAGAAAAAAAAAACATATCAAACGTGTTAAAAAAAACTTTTGGCCAGGCGGTGCTTTAGCTGGGCAATCTCCTCGTTGCGTTCTAACACGAGTGCCTGCAGCTCCGCAATTTCCTTCTCCATTTGGGACTTTGCCATTTTCTCCCTAATGGTAAGGCGTTGACCGTCATTTTCCACCACTTTGATCCAAGAAGATGCCTGCTCCTCTCGCCGTTTCTGAAGCTTGCCGATTGTTCTCATCTGCTGCTTGTGCTTTTTCCTCAATGCGGTGGCGTCCTTTTCGGTTACATTCAACAAGACCTGGTTTTGCAGTTGCGTAAAGCGATTGCGTAGCATGACATCTCTCTTCTCTGATCTTTTGAGCTTACCCTCAAGTTCCTTCAACTTCGCGCGAAGACTTTGTTGCTCCTCCCGCTGCCTCCCCCGAAGGACGTCGACGGAGCGATTGCATTTGCGTTCTCTTTCCAGTACCTTTTTTCTATCACGCAGCAGCAACAGCAGTGTGTCCACCTCCTGCTCCACCTCGTCCACCTCCTTCCAGGCAGCGGCAATCTTGTTTCGTACGCCAATCAACTGCGGGCTGCTTCCGGGCACGGCACCCTCGCGTTTCAACCTCTCGAGGTCCTGACGGAGTTTCTTGTTGGCCGTCAGGAGTTGCCGTCTTCTACTGTCCTCATCGCCCTCATTGGGCCCACCCGCGGCGCGGTTCATCTTTCGTTGAAGCGCACTCAGACCCTTGCGCTCCTCCGCCAGGACCTCCAGCTGGCGATTCAGCTCATCCTCAAGTGCCTTGATACTATCCGCCATCCAGCATACCTCACCACTCCGCTACCTCCGTCCGTCCCCCCTTTTCCCCCTTCCCCCTTTAATATTCGCCGCGCCTCCTCCAGCCCCACCGTACAAATCTTCATTGTGGCAGCCCATGACGCCATGCGACAGACAAAGACACACACATCAAAGTGCAGGCAGAAGTTTCGGAAAAAAAAAAAAAAAAAAAAAAAAAAAAAGAAACCAAGTAGAAAAATAAAAGAAATACGCAACACGTACACACATTACAATCTGAAGAAAGAGAGAGAAAGATCACAGCACGGCAACAGAGAATCCCCAATTTCCTGCAAAGGAATACACATACATAAATACGTATATATGTATGTATGTGTATAAACACAAAAACCATCCAAATCAAAAAAATAAAAAGATCAACTGGCAATGAAGCGTTTCTATAATAATAATAATTAATAAAATGCGCCGTCTGTTCACTTCTCAAAATTTGTATCCGCCCAACTCTCCATTCAACAAACAAACAAACAAAAAAACAATTTAAAAAATACCAAAAAAGAAAAAAAAGGAAAAAAATTATAAATGCTCCCTTTTCGATGCTGCGAAAACTTTCTTTTTTTTTTTTTTTTGCGTGTGTGTCTCTTTACAGCATTTGTGAAAAAGAAAAAAAAAAAAAGAAAAAAAAAAAAAGATACCCAAATATGTATGTATTTTATCGCTTAATGGCTGCAGTCACAGTGCCACGTTGAGGAGCGGCTCATTGTAACCGAATTTATATACGTCTATGGATAACCGGCAATCATATCGGTATTGCCACGTCTCACGTTTAGTTTTTTATATAAATATAAATATAAATATATTTTATTTCTTTTCTTCATTCCTCTCCCCAACTCTCGGCTTCACCCCCCCCCTTGGGAAGGAGAGAACACAACAGCGTTCGTTTTTACGCCACTCGCTCGTGTCACGCTTCGGGTGCGGCGTTGACTTCCAAAAGGGGGGACATGCGCCGTCACAGGGTGGGTCCGAAATTTCACACGCCCAACGCCTACACACAAGCGATAAAAGGATCCAAAAGAAGGTTCTATGAGAAAAAAAAAAAAAAAAAAAAAATAAAAAACACAAAAGCACACACACACAGAGAGAGAGAGAGATAGAGAAACGGAAAGGGAGACAAAAGCTTCTTTATTTTAGCCCCCTGATGGGGGTTCTCAAGAAGCAGTGCGAATAAAACCACATCTTTTCAAGTCATAATTCCTTTGAGCTCTATCAGGTGTGCAGAGAAAAGGCATGAGCCACAGCCGGCAGGCTTTACTCACGAGCCACAGTTCAAGCAATCCTCATTACTCGGTGTCGCGGAGGATACTTGTTTTCGATCATCTTCCTTCACAAGTCCCTTTAAGGTATTTGGATCAACGGTAAATTTGATTGCATCCGCAGCCGGTTTGCTCCGTAGGTAATACATACCCGTCTTTAGGCCACGTTCCCAGGCAAAAAAGTGCATGGATGTCAGTTGGCTGGAAGTTGGATTTTCCAAAAATAGATTCAAGCTTTGACTCTGGTCAATGAACTTGCCACGGTCCACAGCCATCTCGATGAGATCCTTCTGCCGAATCTCCCACACAACACGATACAGCTCCTTGAGGTCATTTGGAATGCCCCTAATGTTTTGCACCGAGCCATTGTAGGCAATGATCTGATTGCGCATCTCTTCGTTCCACAGACCCCGCTTAATGAGATCCATCACAAGGTACTTGTTAACCACAGGAAACTCACCACTCAGCACTCGGCGCACGTAGATATTTGAGGTAAATGGCTCAAAGCACTCATTGTTCCCAAGTATCTGCGAAGTGGATGCAGTGGGCATTGGAGCCAACAGTAACGAATTCCGCATGCCACTTTTCATCATACGCTTCTTCAATGCATCCCAATACCAACGGCCACTTCGCGGTTTCTGCTCCCACAGATCAAAATGTAGCAGGCCTTGCGACGCGGGACTGCCTGCAAACCGCGCATAGGGCCCCTCCA